TTTTATTTTTCAAGCGGCCCCGTTGCCATCTCACCACTAAGGCCTCCAGTAGCCATTCCCGAAGCGCTTGTAGCATGGAATGAGGCGAATGAGGAATGATAACGTTCAATATTCAAACAGCTGCGGTGACATGCTGCAACAAGCACGGTGTTCACGCTACGGAAATGTTTGCGGTTCAAGAATGCAAATAAAGATATGGTGACAAACTGCGTGTCATTTCATATCTCTTCAGAATGTTCATTGGAGTGCACACGGGGATGGCAGGTGGTAGGAATGCACGCATGTCAGTTGAATGCCGAATGCGAGTAAGCCTCTCCCTTGTTCTCACGTAACGAACGATCCTGAGACGTATTTTTTTACTCGATGATTGATCGAGTATCAATGATGGAAAAGTCCATGTGCGCCAAAAAGCGATTTCATAACGTTAGACAACATAACATAACATAACATACCATTTGCGATTTCATAACGTGGGTCTGAAGTCTCGACCTATCAGCCAACGAAGGGCAGCTGATTAGAAACACTGCCGCCCATCTGCTTCATAACGCCGGTCCAAGACTAGGGCTGTTGGACAGACAGCCTGTCACCGCATCGGTTACACTGTGGCGTTGATGGGCATTGATCGACGTGAGTTCTGAGAGAGGCCTCTACACACTCGGCTCTCGGCTCAAAGGATGTGGCTCTTCTCGAAAGCCACATCCTTTGTTGGAGCGTCCGCCGTCTCATTACCCAATGTCCTGACTTGACTGGGGATCCACATACAGGGAATCCTTGTGATTACGCTGTCCAACCGTTCCAAGTCCTCCCAGATCGATCGCATCGGGGAATAATTGTAATGATGCATCGACAGTTATTTCCAACGATAGAAGTTCAGTAAGTGAGGTGATCAAAATAACTACGGCCATTCGCTGGCAGAAAAAGACGTGCTTGTCAACACCTCAGCCAGCCATTGGAAAAAGACTGTGCGCCATCGGTGTCTGCTGCTATAGCAGTGTGCACCACCGGTGTCTGCTGCTGTAGGAGTATGCGCCACCGGTGTCTGCTGCTGTAGGAGTGTGCGCCACCGGTGTCTGCCGCTGCGGTAGTGTGCGCCACCGGTGTCTGCTGCTGTGGTAGTGTGCGCCACCGGTGTCTGCCGCTGTAGGTGTGTGCGCCACCGGTGTCTGCTGCTATGGTAGTGTGCGCCACCGGTATCTGCTGCTGTAGGTGTGTACGCAATCGGTGTCTGCTGCTGCAGGAGTGTTCGTCACCGGTGTCTGCTGATGTGGTAGTGTGCGCCACCGGTGTCTGCTGCTGCAGGGGTGCCGGCCACAGATGTCTGTTGCCGTAGGGGTGCCGGTCACAGATGTGCTGCTGAAAGAGTACCGGCCACGGGTGTCTGCTGCTGTACGGGTGCCGGCCACCGATGTCTGCTGCTGTAGGAGTGCCAGCTACCGCTGTCTGCTGCTGTAGGAGTGCCGACCACCGGTGTTTGCTGGGGGAATGTCCAGGGACGAGAGTCTGCCACTGGAGACTTACTGGGGATCCGAATCATCCATCACTTTCTTGGCGCTAATTTTGATATGAGCATTAGCTAGGTTTGCCAGCGCGCGTGTCCTGGCAGGCCGTGCTGGCGGAGGGAGGACACGCCGCCCCGCTATGGTCTTTTGGTCCGCTGTAATACTCAAGTAGTCGGGTGTCTTCCTTCCAGGCGATGCTGGTCAGACTTGGCCTCCTCGGCAATTTCGAGTCTTGCCTCCTCGCGGCGCCTGGGCCTGCAGCACTGCAGAAAGCGTAGCGCTCTCATAGGTACGGGAGCTGGGGAGGGAACGTGGCGGGTGGGGAGGCGAGCCCTCCAACCTTTTCAGGCGCTGTGATTCCTGCCTCGCCAAGAATATCCACCGACCTGACTGCTCGTGGTGCCATCCTATCGTGACGTTATTGTACTATTCACTTTCCGGGATTCACGCGAGACGATTATTTGAATTAGCTGCAAGGTGTGGTGTGCCTGTAGGGTATGTATGAACGCATTTCATCTCATATCCTGCCATGATGTGGCAAGTACGGATGCACGCCACATCTAATGGCCTTAGATCTAAAATCGTAAAAGTTGCGTCCATAAAACAAGATGCCTTGAATTACAGTTATACCATATTAATCATAAAATGTAAATACCTCAGGACTCGCCATCCATGAAGCCTGCATCACACTCCGGCGCTCTTAAGCCAGCTCTTGAAAGTGATCAGTGACCTGCATCTAGCGACTGTAGTTGGCGAGCCGTTCCACACGACAGCAGCACGATACCAGAGAGCTCGCTGAGGGACGTCAGCACACACCGCAGCCGCGGCGTAGGTGCAGCGCAGCCGCAGGTGTCCGGCGAGCGAGCCACGTACGAGCCGCTGACCGTGCCGCGAACACGTGGCGCACCGCTCGCGTCCCTAACTTGGTGTTCACGACCTTCCACACTTTCGAGACGTTTGTTCAGCAATCATGCGCTTGGGTGCTCAATCCCTCAGCCGGGTGCCCAACCCCGCATTTGCGTGCTCAGTGCCTCAATTGGGTGCTCAATCTCTCAATTTGTTCTCAGTCCCTCATTTCGGTGCTCAATCCCCCGATCGGGTGCTCAATCCTTCATTTGAGTGCTCAACCCCTCAATTGGGTGTTCAATCTCTTAACTGGTTCTCAATCCCTCGATCGGGTGCTCAATCACTCAGTCGGGTGTTGAATCTTTCAATTCGCTCTCAGTCCCTCGATGGGATGCTCAATCACTCGATCGGATGCGCAATCCCTCCGATCGGGTGCTCAATCCCTCAGTTAGGTGGACAATCGAGGTCCTCAGGTGGCCAGGTACAGTGAGTGAGTCAGCCGGAGGCGTGTTTCACTGTGGGTGGAATTCGGACTCCAGAATGCTGATGAAATACGCCGTAATTGCTGGTGTTCTTTAAATATACATGGAAGCTGCATGTAGGTTATGGACGCCACACTGCGTTGCATGACGTGCTCAAGATGCACTTCACGTGGTCTAAGCCAGCACCACCCCCACCCCACATGCTGACCGTCTGTTTCAAGCGAGCTATTAAAAATGATAACTATGGACACACGGTTTGCTTGATAGTTTAAATGCAGTCACCAGTGCAGTTACCAGATAGTTATAAGTGCAGTTGCAGTTTATAAGTGCAGTTACCAGATAGTAGAAGTGTAGATCAAGTAAAAGTGCAGTTTCCAGTGATGTCATGGTAAGGTCGTTACCAGTGATAACCCTGCCATTACCAGTGACGTCACTACTTTTACCAGTGACGTCACTGTCGTTACCGATGATGTCACGGTCGGGGTCGCTACCAGTAACGTCACAGTCGGACTCGTCAGTGGCGTCAAGGTCGGGGCCGTTACTAGTGACGTCACGGTCGGGGGGTCGTCACCAGAACAAGGGCTTCCATACGGCCCGTCACACAGATCGCGTGCTCTGATGCGTGGTTTACACTCAGCCGAGCACGACCTCCAAGAGCGCGAGCTGCCGTCTGTGACGATCAGCCGATGCCTGCCGCGGGGCCGCACCATGGATCAGTCACTGCAGGTCTCTGGTCACTTCCGGTGACGTCCGTGAACAACTGATGCTCGACAGTCGTCCATCCAAGCTACATTGATCCATCCTCCATGGCATTCACCCATTTTCCTTCGGGCTCGTCCATCTTTCATCAAGTGAATCCACATTACATTGCATTATTCCATCCTCCATTGCATTATTCGGTTCCCTCGGTATTGCACGGTGTGTCATTCCTCCATCTTCCGGGCATCCCTGTCATGTTACAGCTAGCGTTGATTTACCTTCATACGAAGAACTGTTGTCCCTATTTGTCCGGAATGTCTCAGACATTCCGGCGCGGTCAAACATCAATAGGCGTCGGTACAGTCTGTAGACACCCGCAGACACCCAAGACATCCGTAGACATCCGGGGCAGTCCAGCGGAAGGGCGCTAAACTTAATGACCCAGAAAAATTCAGTGTCTGAGTTGCAGCTAGCGCGAATTGTTTGGACAGGTTGACATGCATGGGTCGCACATGGCATGGGGCGGATGTGTCACAGTATTTCATAGCATGGACAACACATCTCCTCTGTTCCTGTCAAGTTCAACAAGACCTGTCCAGATAAAAGGGCTGGCGGCAAAATGATCCAGATAAACGAGACGGCATAGTTTGGATGACGGGTCCACGGCACGGACCAGACTCTTGAAGAGCATATGACGCATGCTCTTGATGCAAGCAAGGAAGGCGTTAAGCTCCTGGTTTTTCGGCAGCATGAGCTCAGAGTTGTTATGCCGAGTAGTCGACTTTCAGTAAGTCAGGATGTACCATATAGCCGAATTTCACCAAGGTATATAGCAGTTTTCGAGCACTATTACTGTAACCAATGTATTGAGTACCGTCAATATAACCAATATTCCCTCTGGAGCGTCGTTCAGCCGGTACCTCCTGGCATATTGAAAGTCGGTTAACTCAACATAAGGCCGTAAGGATATAACCAATATTTACTCTACAGCGTCCTTCAACCAGTACCTCCTAGTATTTTAAAGGTCGATAACTGGACATAAGGTTTCTGTACCCATGCCGCGTGTCTAGTATGGACCACTTGTTACCCGCGCACACAAACCGCCTTCCTGATGTCTACTTGACCGACTATCCCTCCCGGAGGACAGTGCCTTCCCACCCCTATGGCGTAGCTCTCCCCGGCAGTTCACCCTCTGACGCTTCGACGCGACCGCACATACACGCGTACATTCCTGTATTAAAAATGGCGACACAGTCTCGTGACAAGACACAGCGGCAGCACGCAGGCCTGCCGGGGCTCACACTGGCCCGGGCCACAGCGGCGTGCGCATGCGCAGACCCCGGCCGTGACGTCACCGCCACCGACGACGGCAGCGCTCGCGGCGGCCGAACGGCGAACTCCGCACCGCGCGAGCAGGCCGCAGCGCGCGCCGGCCGCGCGGCGCGCGCTAAGGCATTTCCTGAGCTGCCGACCCGGACACCGCGGCGCGCGCAGCTGGCAGAGCAGGTGGCGAGGTATGGCGGCGCGCGCCGCCGGCGAAAACGCCGCACACGGCGCCGCATCAACAATGGGCGTAGAAAAATAGCGCGCGGCCGAGGCGGCGGCGAGGCGACCGTTGGGAGGGCCAGTCAGTCGCGGCTCATCACCTGACCGAAGACCTTGCCCTCCCAGAGCGGCAGCACGGCTGCCTCGTCCGTCACCTCTTCCTGAATCACACCCGTCTCAAAGTCGCGGCACTCAGTCTTGAAGAAATACCTGCCGGCAGGCGGCGCATTAGGCGCAGGCTCAAGAGGCGGGGGGGGGGGGGGGGGCGGACGCGCCCGTACGGTCAGAGCAGCCGCAGGCGTCCACACGCAGCGGCGCGCATCGTCTCGTTGTAAAACTCTGGTCGTTTGCGTGCGTGCACTGTCCGGGGTTTTTCACATTTCAAGCGAGCTGACGCCAGTGCTAGGGGCCTAAACGTTGCGAATGACGTTGCATGATTGTGACTACGGGATGTCAGTAAGCAAATGCAGGATATCAATGGCGCAGAACGTCCAAAACAACTTGCGGACACGTGGCCACTAACAGGCCGACCCACACTACACAAATCAGGGCCGCTTAATCAAGACCGAACTGCGGTTTCAGAAAACCCGTCCAACAAAACTTTACGTCGAACCGCAAAAAGGGAACGCCAAAACCGCACACAACGATCAGGAAACAAACCCCATCACCAGCCAGAGATACCGACCCCCTCTAACCCACTCACCTGTAGTTTCCCTTGCGCGGCATCAGCTGTTTAAACTGTTTAAGCGTAATGCGTTTGGCCGCGATTCGCGTCCTATAAGGCACTTCTTCTCCGCAAAACGTATAGGCAACGCACAACATGTCGTCGGCGTCGGGACGCGCTGAGGGGAGACAGAAGGGCGCGTGAGCGCGCGCACAGGCGGCGCCACCGGCACGTGCGATCTGAGAGGGTGGCGGCGCGGGCGCGGGCCGGCTGCGCCAGGCGGGGGTACCGCGGCAGCAGCTGACAGGCAGCTAGGCAGCGGGGCAGAAATTCCAGACGAAACACAAGAAGTGAATGCGATAACTTTGGTCCGATTTTGAATAGTTTGGTAAATACAAACCGGTTTAAGCAACAAAAGATTTTTCGGCGCTAGGAGTTTGGAGTCCCCATGCTGCCAATGAGCGCTATTCAATCCACCCGAACGTACTGCTTTAACGACGCTATCCAGCAGATATTGGTTATCAAATTGCCATGCGTCATGACCATGAGCACAGCCTGTAACGTGGGGTTGTGAAAATATGACCAACTTCCGTTTGATACCGCCGTGGAACCAATACCCCCGGCGTAATGAATGCCGATTTATTTATCAACACATGAACTGCTACTTCGTGGACATGATTAAGCCCACGCCTCTCAAAATACAGACCCGATTTTCACCGCGAGAAACTTTGGCCAAGCCAAAAAAGCGCCTGCCCGGACCCGCGCCGCCAGTGACGTCACATCATGCCGAGAGCGTCGAACCAATCAAAAACGAGCGCCGGCGCCGCTAGCCGGCGCCGGTCGACATTCAGCAGCATCCAAACGGAACAACAGTCAGGATGACGACAGTCTCCGGCTACGACAGACGGCGGCCCCCCGCCGGGGAGAGAGGGGTACTGACCTTGACCCGGCTTGGGCTGGCGGGCGACGTGCCGCTTCAGCGAGTTGTAAGGCGCCGCCTGCGGCTGCTGACCGCCCTCTGACAGCCTGCCGACACAGGGGTCAGCGGGGTCAGATGAGAGGTCACCAGAATCAGATCCTCAGGAGTCTGTGCGGCCTCGACACGCCGGTAAACACTGCTGGGGTGTGCGCCGAAGCCTGCGATGGCGATGCCAGCTCTTACGCCCAGTGGTATGACGAGCTGAGCAGCCACGCCGCCGTCATGGAGACAGCTGCCTCATACACCGGTGGCCAGCATGAGCGATGAGGAGGCTACAGCCTGATACACAGCGTTGAATGGACGCCAAAGAAATCGTGACACGCCTTCGCGGGCGCAAGCAAGCCCTGAACGTCTCCACGGGCAGCTTTCAAACGAGGAAGGGCATTGCCGGACGTTATCGACGAAGGTACGCCGACACCGTCCCCACCATCTCGAATCGCTCACGACCGGCCGTCACCCCAGCTTCCCGCAGACGCAACGTCGGCTCCGACGCCGCAGTTCTGCTCTCCCACCGGCCCGCCCGCTCGCCGCCTGTCCGCCGCGCCGTAAACTCCAGCTTCCCCGCGTCGCCGCCTGGCGGCGCTGCTCACCGGGCGCGTCCGCGCCGCTCCTCCTCGGCGGCGCGGTCGAGCGAGCCGGAGCGGGACGTGTTGTACTGCAGCGGCGGCAGCGGCGGCCGGCGGCCGGCCAGCGGCGCCGCCGCGTGCGCCGAGCGGGCGCGGTGACGGCCGCCGGCCGACTCGTCCTTGCCCGCCTGCTGCATCCACATCATCACCCTGACAGAGGACGGCGGGCTGGGTCAGTCACAGAGGGGGGACTTCCGCACCGAATCACTACAACCTTCCGCCACAATTGTGGGCACCATGCCCACAAACACCGCTCACGTAAACACAGCCTGCATGTGAGTGAAGTGCATCCAGAGATCCCCAGCTGCAGAGGGCGGCACACGCTACCCGACCACTGGCACCGCTCCGGCAAGCGGGAGCCGGCCGCATGGCCTGCCGTCTGGTCATGACCTGACCCGGCCTCTATTACGCCTCTGGCCACCCCTCTGACGTGACTCCCAGCCGGCCCGTGCCCTGACCCCTGACCCTGGATGCCCCCCCCCCCCCGTGGCCTCGTCACTCCCGATGCCGCGCACACCCCGCCGCCCACCCCTGCCGCCTTCCAACATGCCTGCTGTACCGCCTCGCCTGGCCGAGCGAGCACACAGCACGGCAGATTCCTAGCCAAACTGCCACAACGGAAACGGTCATGGGACCCCCGCCGGTACGCACTTTTCGTTGGGCCGGGTGCGGACCGGCAGCCGGTCGGTGGAGACGACCGAGACGCCCGAGTCGGGGTCCTGCAGCGAGCGCCGGCTGCGGCGCGCCGGCTCGCGCGCCATCCGCAGCGACGCCAGCTCTGCCGGGCGCGCGCCGGAGTCACCACACAGTCACCGCAGTCACAGTCACAGTCACCGCAGTCGCGGCCGGCGCGACGGCGAGCGGGCACGGGAGGGCTGAACGGGTATGGGTGGGGGGGAGGGGACGCCGGGGATCAGGTGTGTGTGTGGGGCGAGGGGATGCGAGGGGCGCACACGCGTGGCGGGCGAGGCGTGAGAGGGACACAAACGCGCCCAGCACGCACGTCATCACGAGCACTCTCACACCCGCGGCGTACGAGCACGACAAACTCGACACGACACGACACGTAACCCGAGCTCGACACGTCGCAAAGTCTGGCTCAGAGCGCGGTCACGTCACCGCCGCTCACCGGGCTCGGCCGGGCACACCCACGAGCCGGCGCCAGCCACGGCGCGGCCACGCGGCCGGAGCCGCCACCCGCCGCCTCCGCCGCCCCCTCTCACCGGGGCCAGACGCCGCGTAGTCGGGGAACGTGCGCGACTTGGGCATGTGGTGGCGCTGGTGCCGCTCCAGACTGAGCTGCGACGCCGCCAGGTCCTGCACGGTGCCCGAGTCGGCCGAGAACGTCGACAGCACGTCGCGCTCGCGCCGGTGCGGCGCCGGCCGCTGCGGCGGCCGCCGCGCCGGCGCCGGCGAGCGCGCACCCGACCGCCACGGCGTGTGGTGGCTGGAGTCGAACACCTTGGAGATGTGCGCGTCTGCCGGAGAGGGCGGCGGTCACGACGCCGGCGATGCTGACGGTGATGATGTACGGTCGTGATGGAGATGGTGGTGGTGGTGACGGTCCGTGGACTATTGAAGACAACGGCCTTTGCACACGTACAACACACACATACAGAGGTATATATATATATATATATATATATATATATATATATATATATATATATATCATCAATTAAATACACATATAGGAATAAAACATATACCTATACGTTAACACATAAATACAAATATCTGGATTTACAGACACATGGACTCAGGCGACGAGGATCGCACGCGGACCGCGAGGACCGCACGAGGACGACGAGGACCGCACGCAGCTTCGACGAGCGGCGAAACGCAGGGGATATGCAGCCCAGGTCAGTTGAGTTTGTAAGGAATCATATCAGGACGCTCCGCTGCCGGGACAGAGGCGAAATCCGCCCGCTCTCGAGACGCGCGCGTCCACAGCGGGGCCGGAGCACGGCCGGAGATCGATCTCCTCTTCATCACCGCTCCGAGGAGACCGGCCGCCACCTGACACGAGCCGCCGCCGGCGTGGGAAACCGAACACCTGCGCCAATCGCCGCCGAGCGATCGCCGACAAAGCCGCCCGCCTCGAGCCCCGCAGGCCGCCGCCGGCTATTCTCGGACGTACGGGAAGCCGCTCCGACGCGCCATCACGCCCGAGCGCGCGGCATTTTCGTCGCTGCCGCGCGCTTTTCCGAGTTTTCGCGTTTTTCCCCGGTGCTCGCGGCGCCACCAGAGCTTCAACCCGCAGTGTGTGAAAACTGCTGCAGCAAAAGCCGCGAGAGAGAATACAATGTCTTCGCCAAGAACACCAAGCAAACCGAACCCAGCGCAGATGGGGGAAATGTGGTCAACATTGCCGAATGGTTCAAGCGTAGGTGGGAGCCACGGCTCGACTCTCAGTTGAGCCATGACCCCAGAGCGCTAATATGGCCAGTGCCGTCACTAGCGCTCCATAAAAAGGCCGTCATAGCGTGTCGACAAACACTGTCCGTGAAGTGTAAAGCCGAAAGACGTGGCCAACACTGAGCTCCTGAAATCGTCCGGAAGTGCCATTTTCACCCGAAATGGTTAATTTTGACGCAACTGGCCGTCTCTCCTTCCACCAGCGTCGACAGGCGCGCGACCAGGCGAGGCGAACGGGCGCCGACGTCACGCGACCTGGTGTGCCGCCTGCGCCTCGCCAGGAGCCAGCGAGGAAGAGCAGCCGACGGCCGCGGCTCGCCAGAGGGCAGGCCGAGCGCGCCCGGCGCTCGGCGCCCGGACGGCGGCACTGCTTGGGGGCGTCGGCCAGGGAGGAACGGAGCAAACACATGTGCGTTGCGGAATTGTGATCCGGAGGAATTGATGATCCCGATTTTGCGAGGGCCAGCACCGTCGGGCAGAAGGTCGGGGCACTGAGCCAAACTGTTGACCGACACCACTGATTGCTTCACTTCCTCAGGCGCTTCTCCGCACTCTCATCTGGCGCCCATATTCCACGCGGGAAGTGTGCACAGTTCGACGGAAGCAAACCAGTTCCAGGAGGAGGGGGAGGGGGGGGGGGGGTTGCTTCCACTTACCGAGGATCTCCTGCTCATTCTCGACGGCCAGCTTGCCAAGCTTGCCGATGGCGTCCTGCAGCAGCCGCTTCGAGTCGACGCCGCTCTCCATCTGCCGGAGAGACGTGCGGCATTAGTGCGTGGGGTCGACGGCAGGTGTCATTAGTACCACGAGCGCTGCTGGCAGGTCACGGGCGTCACAGAACGTTGCATCTTGGTGCGCACGGCCAACAGGTGTCACCAATGGCGCAAGTACGCACTAGCCAAGAGATATGTCACAACCAAGTTCTGACAGTGAGCAAATAAATCAACACAACGCAGCCCGTCAGCATGGCCAGCGACGACGCACAGGTCAGCGACTCCAGCGCCATTGTCGGTATAAAGTTACGCTCCAGGTGGCAAAAAGAACGCTCCCGCCGAAAGCTCCAGCCCGCATCCCGGCGCGCCAGCCAAGCCAAACTAGACCAGGCGCCGGTAGCGCTTGGTAGCTTCACCAAATGCTGATGAAAAACTTCAGCAAACACCAAACGTCGCCAGCGCTAGTACCTGATAACACCGACAGATGTCAGGAGCATCGACGCGCCTTACCATCTCGCGCTCGAGTATGACCCGCTCGAGCTTGGAGGTGAGCAGCTGGGCGAACTCCTGCACGTGCCACGAGGGGTTCAGGGGAAGCTCGACCACCCTGTCGGCGGAGGAAAGGGAGGGGCGTCAGGGGCGCCACGCACAGAGGAGCTGCTTAGGCCACAGCGAGGAGCAGCGCAAGGGTCACAAAGGAGAGAGCACGGGAGCTCAGATGGGTTGATGCGAGGTGTGATATAGTCGACGAGCGATCAGACCGCAGCAACGCACGTGGTCGGACAAGAGACGGAACAAACGATCTACCACCTGAGAATCTAGGGATTTCTGATGGGGCGGTACACGGCGTTGGACAGAGTGATGCCGAGTCAGACAGGGCACAGTCCAGGGTGTCCCTTGAAACAGCACAGAGGTCACCTGCCGCCGGACGTCAACCAGCCAATCACAGACAGCCACCAAGCTGACGCCGGCACCAACCGCCATCCGTCCCGGGCGGCACAGCGTTTGACAAGACGGGCGATGGTACACAGTCGCGGTACGAGGTACGTCACAGTACGAGGGGCTGGACGGAGATTGACTTCCGCCGGTGACAGGCGCCGTGTACCAGGCATGCCCGCGGCCAGACCCATCGCCGGCGTACCTCAAGCTGGGGCGGTGCACTCGTCCTCAAACGCAGGGCGGCGCAAATGGCCGACGCGTCGTCTCCTCTCAGCGCGCGCGCGCGACATCACGACACGCCCAACACTGCACGCGCAACGTACGCGGTGCACGTGACAAAGCGTGCTAGCACTCATTTCCACGCTCATTTCGGGGAAGAACCACGCGCTCCGTGGTTTCTGAATCCTGCAGGGGCCCCGACACTGGCGTGCACCGCATTAACGCCGATACGAACCCTGACGGGTTCGTCCCCGAACACCTCTGCCAAAGGTCATCTCCGCACGACGCGCGTTCTACCACTTTGCCGGCTGATAACATGGCTACGCTCGTGATAAGCACAGGCGAACGAGGTGCGCCCAATCTCTGCGGTCGCGGTACGCCTACGCGCCCTCCCCCTCCCAGCGCGGTACACCGTTGTTGATTGGAGTTTTAGGGCGCGTAGACTACTGTAGTCATTTTGCGCCCAGCGCGGTGTACCGGTGTCTCCTCACCTCTCCGTGCGCGGTATTACTGGGTGCTGGAGAGAGGACTCCTGGTTCTGGCGTGCGCTGTCCTTCATTAGCCTGTGCTGCCGCTTGGTCACCCGCCTCTGCGAGTGCCAGGTGGGGTACTGGCCGGTGCGCCCGTCCCTGGCGGCGGCGCGGTCAGGTCACAAACCCGCCAGACGCCGGTGGCGCCGGGTCGGAGGTCACAAGCCCGCCAGACGCCGGCGGCGCCGGGTCGGAGGTCACAGGCCCGTTAGACGCCGGCGGCGCCGGGTCGGAGGTCACAGGCCCGCTAGACGTCGGCGGCGCCGGATCAGAGGTCACAAGCCCGCCAGACGCCGGAGGCGCCGGGCCAGAGGTCACAGGTGGGTCAGACGGCCGGTCAGCAGCACCGGAAGTCACGCCACCGCACTGTGTAAGGTGCGGTGTGTAAGGTGCCCGCAGCAGCCTTCTTCAGCCTTCTCAAAGTGACGCTAGCCCATCCGCACAGCCTTCTGAAAGTGACGCTGGCCCATCCGCACAACCTTCTCAAGGTAGCTCATCGCGCCCGTCACAACAAGGCCCAGACCCACACCCGTCCACAGTCAGCTTCACCGACGGCCGGTTGCCCCGCCTGGCGACCACTCACACGGAGGAGCCGGCCCTGCTGCACGTGTCGTCGGTCAGCGCCTCGGAGCTCTTGCTCTGCAGCTCCGAGTCCTGTCTGCTGACTGGGTTGTAGGAGCTGTACAGCGTGTGGTAGGGGTTGACCGGCCGCGGCAGCGGCAGGCCCGGCTGCTGGTACATCGACAGGCCGGTCCTGCGGCACGGCGACACAGGCAGCGTCAGCGCGGCACCGCACCGAATCAGCCGGCACACGCGGCGAAATGGGGCCCGACTCGTCGCACACACGCGGGTGTAATGTGATGATTTGCGTCGCAGAGTCGGCAGTTTACACGGCAACAAAGAAAAAGGATGTTGGTTCCCAAGGGCCGATGAGAACAAGGTTCCACGTTTTTGACATACTGACAGCGTTTTGCCGGAAAACATGATTCAACCCCAGTAGGCAACAGTCCGCCGTGCTTGCTCAAAAGGACATCCCTGTGCACATCGAACAATATCGCACTGGGGTTTCCCATGGCCCTGGACCAATGTGTTCATGAGCACAAACACTCCTATAACTTGCGGCACGGACTGCAACCAGGTCGCCATGGTAACTAAGCACACAGGTAACCGATCAGTGAGCGCGGCTCGGCTCGGCTCGGCTCGGCTCGGCTCGGCTCGGCTCGGCTCGGCTCGGCTCGGCTCGGCTCGGCTCGGCTCGGCTCGGCTCGACCCGACCCGACCCGACCCGACCCGACCCGACCCGACCCGACCCGACCCGACTTGGCGCGACGCGACTCGACTCGACTCGACTCGGCCCCGGGCACGGGGTTGGCGATGTCGGATTTAGTGCCCCGGTCAGGCTGGGAAAAATCAAAACGGCCGCAACACGTGCTGGAGGTTTTAAGACGAGACCACAACTCAGGATGTCGGGGCTACTTTACGTCTATCTACCCCAGTTTCCCACCTTCCTCGCCCCCCCCCCCCTCCCCGCCTCCACGCACATCAAGACTCACTACAATCAACCGCATACAACTTTAGCCCACAAGAACAAGGCCTCCCGTCCACTCGCGATGATGCTGACAGGTCCCACCCGCTGACCTGTTCGCGCGCCATCATTCCATATAACGTCACGTCGCGTCACGTCACGCCACGCCGCGCCACGCCACGTCAAGTCACGCCACGCCACGCCACGTCACGTCACGTCACGTCACGCCACGCCACGCACGCCACGCCACGCCACGCCACGTCACGTCACGTCACGTCACGTCCGCTCCTGCAGCGCACTGACCTGGCCGCGGCGGCCTTGTCCGGTTTCCGCCGGCCGGTCGGCTGGATGAGGGCCCGCTTGTCCTGCGTGGCCAGCAGGGCGTCGCGCGTTAGCGCAGGTGCTGCCGCCGGCTGTGGCTGTTGTTGTTGTTGTTGTTGTTGTTGTTGTTGTTGTTGTTGTTGTTGTTGCTGTTGGTGGTGGTGGTGGTGGTGTTGTTGCTGCTGCTGCTGCTGCTGCTGCTGCTGCTGCTGCTGCTGCTGCTGCTGCTGCTGCTGCTGCTGCTGCTGCTGCTGCTGCTGCTGCTGCTGCTGCTGCTGCTGCTGCTGCTGTTGCCGCTGCTGCTGCTGCTGCTGCTGCTGCTGCTGCTGCTGTTGTTGTTGTTGTTGTTGTTGTTGTTGTTGTTGTTGTTGTTTGTGTTGTTGTTGGTGTTGCTGTTGTTGTTGTTGCTGCTGCTGCTGCTGCTGCTGCTGCTGCTGCTGCTGCTGCTGCTGCTGCTGCTGCTGCTGCTGCTGCTGGTGATGCTGCTGCTGGTGATGCTGTTGCGCCGCCGCCTCCTCCTCGTGCAGCGTGGGCAGCCCGGCCGGCGGCGGCAGGCCGCAGACGCTGCTGGCGCAGCTGGAGCCCTCCAGGCTCTCCTCGGCGCCCTCGCCGCAGGTCGGCCAGCCCTGCACCAGCTGGATGTAGTAGTCCGACTTGAGGAAGCTCGCGTACACGGTGCGGTTCATCTGCTCCTCCACCTGCGCCTGCGCGGCGGCAAACAGGTGCGCGTCCAGCCGGCCGGCGTGCACGCGCTCGGCGATCTCCGAGCGCACGTCCTCGCTCACGGGCAGCTCGGCCGGCACGCGCTCGGCGCGCGCGTGCCGCCGCGGCCGCACAAACCGCTTGTATATGGCCAAGATGAGTCCGCCGGAACTGGACCGGGTCGTGCTCGGGCCTGTCGGGCGACTGGCCCGTCAGGCCCTTGCACGCGAACCAGAAGTCGAGCATCTCCGGGCAGCCCTCCTCGTTCAGGTACTTCTGTTGGCCGAGTGTGGCGGATCAGCACACGCGGACCAGGGATTATGCACGGATCGAGGTTACTATGCGAGGTCACCTTGCAAGGTCAGTTTGCAGAGTCACTCTTCAGGGTCATTGCACAAGGTCAATTTACGAGACCACTTGGTCGCTTAGCAAGATCACTGCACAAGGCCACTTCACAAGGTCACCATACAAAAACGACACGGCGATCCGCCCAGACGATACAAGATTCGGCGGTCACCGTGGGGTCAGTGCGGGTTAATACGCAGGGTCACGCAGGGTCAAACCCAGATATCAGAGCATAGCCTAACGCACGATTCACACGGAGTCAACGCGACTACCGCACAGCAGTCACTGCGAAGCGGAACTGGCACAGCACTGCACCAGCACGAGAATGACAAGAGCAAATCCAGCGATGCACACGTATGGGATATGGATATGGGTATGGGATACGTATGGTGTATGGGATAGATGGCGAACCGATAGTGTCACAGGGTCAGCACAGGTCAATACAGTGCCGTGCCGATACGGGGAGGAGCAGTCAGGTCAGCATAGTCAGGACAGGGTCAGCACAGACCCGGAGGGGGGGAGGGGGACGTCGCGTGATGTGCACGGCGACACACCAAGTCATCAGATTGTGCACGTCCCGAATTTCAAAAGATCATTCGGGCGACGCTATTTTCGGAATGCTGATCAGAACACCAAAACAGCCCAGGTTCCAAAGTACCGCTCACTGCGTGCATGCCACGACCGTCAACACATCGCCCATGTTTACCTGGGGCCTGAGTGCGGGCGGGCATGCAGATAGCGCACCTCATACGCAATCTCCGGCGCCGCTAACAATAAAAGTAATCAGTGCGAATTGGCCGGAAAACATCACGCGGCCCGCCCGCTAAAAGCCGTCGTTCGAGTTCGCGCCCTCTCCTGCCCCCCCCCCCCCCCCCCCCCACCGGTTACATCCGGTCTCTCTGGCGTGCCAGCCACGCCGACGGCGGCGCCTCCTCTGAAGTGGCGGCGGCGCACGGACCGCGCACAGCGCACACATCTGTCACGATTTGCGTCACCGTAACGCAGCTCGGCAGCTGCGCGCGTCGGGCGACAGCTCGCGGAGCGTCACGGCCGGGGGGCGGGGGGGGGGGGGGATGTGCGCGCGGAGAACGAAACGGGCCAGGGCACGGACGGAGCGTCCGCGAGTCATATCTGGACACGGGGAGATGTGCACGCGGAGAACGAAACGGGCCAGGGCACGGACGGAGCGTCCGCGAGTCATATCTGGACACGGGGAGATGTGCGCGCGGAGAACGAAACGGGCCAGGGCACGGACGGAGCGTCCGCGAGTCATATCTGGACACGGGGAGATGTGCACGCGGAGAACGAAACGGGCCAGGGCACGGACGGAGCGTCCGCGAGTCATATCTGGACACGGGGAGAGGTGCACGCGGAGGACGAGGCGGAACCGGGTACAGATGGAGCGTCCACGAGTCATATCTGGGCCAGGGGAGACGTGCACGCGGAGAACGAAACGGGCCAGGGCACGGACGGAGCGTCTGCGAGTCATATCTGGACACGGGGAGATGTGCACGCGGAGGACGAGGCGGAACCGGGTACAGATGGAGCGTTCGCGAGTCATATCTGGACACGGGGAGATGTGCACGCGGAGGACGAGGCGGAACCGAGTACGGATGGAGCGTCCGCGAGTCATACCTGGGCAGGGGGAGATGCGCCCGCGGATGACGAGACGGGCCCCGGCACAGACGGAGCGTTCGCGAGTCATATCTGGGCCGGGGGAGATGTGCACGTGGAGGACGAAGCGGAACCGGGCACAAATGGAGCGTCCACGAGTCATATCTGGGCCAGGGGAGACGTGCACGTGGAGGACGAGACGGGCCAGGGCACGGACGGAGCGTTCGCGAGTCATATCTGGGCAGGGGCAGATGAGCACGCGGAGGACGAGACGGAACCGGGTACAGATGGAGCGTCCGCGAGTCATACCTGGGCCGGGGGAGATGTGCACGTGGAGGACGAGGCGGAACCGGGCACAGATGGAGCGTCCACGAGTCATATCTGGGCCAGGGGAGACATGCACGTGGAGGACGAGACGGGCCAGGGCACGGACGGAGCGTTCGCGAGTCATATCTAGGCAGGGGCAGATGAGCATGCGGAGGACGAGACGGAACCAGGTACAGATGGAGCGTCCGCGAGTCATACCTGGGCCGGGGGAGATGAGCACGTGGAGGACGAGACGGGACCGGGCACAGACGGAGCGTCCGTGGGTCACGTTTAACCGGAGCGCGCCGAGGCGCACAGTGAGCAGAAACGGGACCGCGGCGGTGGAAAAGGGACAGCGCTTCCTTCCTGGATCGCTGACCATCACGACATTCACTACAATAACAAGACACGAACCAAGCGAAGCCAAGGAGTCCTTAGCCCATTACCATTTCAGCTTGCCAGCACAAACAAATTTACCAAAATACCAACACGATGCGAATCGCACGGGGTAACGCACGTTCGGCCGTCGCGCCCATCGGGACGCAACAGACCGAGCGCGGCCACCGCCGGGCCGGGCCTCCAGACCACAGACCTTGAAGTGCTCAACACCCTCCTCATCGTCGAGCAATGAGCGCAGTCCGCCGGCCCAGCGCAGGTAGGGCGGCGTGGAGGCGGCCGTGTAGGGCGGCGACGGGCCGCCCTCGGCGCCGTCGCCGCCGCTCTCCCAGCCCGGCGGCGGCTTCAGGTACTCTGCGAACGGTCCGGCGGGGTCAGCTTGCAGCTGGCATGTCAGGTCAGGTCAGGTCACAGGCGCCAGCGGGGTGAATCAGGGCACACACAGACCACGATCGGATCGGGTCGGGTCGGGCCTGGGATGATCGGGCACATATCGAGTGAACGACACGACAGTGAACAGGTCACGGGTGAACAGGTCACGCTGCCCGCTCAGCCGTGACCAAGCCAGGTCAACGACAGGGTCAAGTTCAGCTCGCCAACTGCACATGATCGTAGTCTGGCACAGCACACACCAAGCCAGAACGCGGCATCGCAAAACTGAGGCGCGGAAGACGGGGCATCGAGGGCAATCTGACTTCTCTGGGTTCGAAAGCCAGCCCATGCAGCCCACGGCGCACGTGTCGGGCACCGACGCTGCCTCAGCCGGCCGGCCCCTTTTTCAAAAAGTTCGCAAAAAGACGAGTTGTTTCAGCACACGCGGCGCAGCTGAGCGCTGGTGATCCGTCGTCACAGACGTCCCCGTTGTTGAGTTTGCACACCGTTCTTCGAAACGTGGCGGCAATGCGGGGCATCTCTCATTCTTTTTTAGCGTATTTCAGGGTTCTACGGAAGTTTCGAGGCGGTTGGTATGCAACATACGCCTGTAGAGCCATGGTGATTAACGTCAGGGGGTGACTTTGCAACGTTACGGTTTTCACAGCTGCACGATGCCACCTTCCACAGGGCGACCAAACATCTACGCTTCCTGCCTTTGTGGACCTGCAAATACAGCTTCGTCGCAACCACTCTGTCTTTCACCTACGTCATCATCGGCTCTCCGACTCACCCACAAAGCCTGGCGTCACACAAACGCGGTCGCGCGGCCCAGCACGGCAACAGGCACCTCCGCCGCCCTTCTCCCGCGGCGTGCGGCGGTGCCGCGGCGCGCCGGCGGAGGCGGGGTCGCGAGGAGCGGGCGCACGTGACCCGGTCGCCCGGGGTCGCGGGGTCACGACCCCGCAGGCGGCGCCTTGATCGCACGGATCAAAGGCGGCGACAATCCGGCGCGGCAGCGACCTCATCAAAACGACATGACGAGCACGGCAAATGCGCGTCGTCCGTGATGGGGGCAACCGGGAAGGGAGGCGGGGGGGGGGGAGGGGATCAGAGGGCTCGACGACGCCTGGCTTCAAAGGCGACACCGACGGGCGCCGCAACGCCGCCGAATAGCTGCGCCTGAGGTCACTAGTCACCGCCGAAACCGGTATCAAGCAACTGCATCCAGATCCAGAACAGGTCCCTCAGAGTGTCCGCGCTCGCCGCCGAGCACGGCGACAGCCGCTCGGGCGGCCGCGGCCCCAGCGACCGGCCGCGCCAGCGCCTGATCGCCGGCCGGCCGCGTCGGCATTAGCTCGGATCAAACGCCGCTCGCCCGTCCTGGGAATCATATCGGCCCCGGCGGCAAATAAGCAGACCAATTAAATGTGCGCCACGTCCGCAGCCGTGCGACGCGCCGACATCGATTCGGCGCCGCTTTGATGTTTTGCACTGATCTTTCATCAGCTGCCCGGGCGCGCGTGGCTCGCTCGCACCCGGCGGCGACAGAGGCGGCGCCAGCGGAGGCTGGCAGGGCGGCGCTAGCGGAGGCTGACAGGGTGGCGTCAGCGGGGGCTTACAGGGGCGAAAATCGTTCGGTCATTTATCGACGCGTGGTGTGACTACTGAGATGACCGGTGTTGTCACACCAGGTAGAAATCGGGACCAGAGCATGGCAGCAGCGGCAGCGCTCGCACACGGGCAGAGGCGGCGGCAGCGATGACCTGCGGGGAGCGACCCCGCCGCCGAAGGGGGGGGGGGAGGGAGGGCGGGGCTGCGGTTCCAACGGGAGCCGTGCTGGGATGCCCTCAGCGGCGGATCCAGCACTGGATACCCAGAGGAGCCAATTATAGAATGTGTTGTTTGTATACGAGCGTCAGGTGCAAACGGTGACAATTTCAGCTTTCAAAGTCACGGGGCGCGGCCGCCTGCGCTGACAGAGACAAAGCGGAGGGTGGGGGTGCCGTGTGCGCCTGGGAGGAGCAACAGCTGATCCGCAAGTTGGCGATGACGGTCGATACCAACGACATGCCTTTCATGTACATCCAAGGACGCGACACAGGTATGCCGCGACATACCGGACAGCGCTCATCGATAGCCAAAGAACGCCGCTGGGCCGTCTGTAAACACGCATTACTCAGCTGGCCTGGGTCGCCAAACAACGTGAGAAGCGTTCTGTTTGCGATCTCGTCAACAGCGGGTACCCACAGGGACAGTATTGACCGGACCCCGGGGGGGTCCCGACTGGCCCCTCTTGGGATTTCCCACACGGCTTAACCTGCACGAGCGGCTCCAATCGCGTACGTGAACATCGCATTACGCAGAGATCACTGCTGACGCGCCGGCGTTGACAAACGAGGACCTGCAAAACGCGCGTCTGTCAGAATCCCACGTCCAATCAATCGCTGTCCGAGAACGGCCGCACGCAAACATTCCGTCAGCACACGGCCCCCGCCAACAGACCGCCGGGAGTGTGACCAGAGGGCGGACCACAACAATTAGCGCCAGGCACGGCACCAGGCGGCGGACTCAGAAAATCCCGCACACGGCATGCCGCTATCACTCGGCGATCAAACGGAACGGCACAAAAATAGCGGGCGTAGACCGGCGCAGGGCCACAAAAGGGCAGAGGGACGGCTCCGCCAGAGCGCTCTGCAACTGAGTGCGAGAACAAACCTTGCGCCGCATCACCGACAGTTGCTTCCATGCACATTTTGCAGTTCACTTGTCGGTCTACCGGCTGAATGCTGTAGTCAATGAAAGCAGCAATGCTTCGATAGCCTTCCTTTGCTCCCACATATTTATTACGCTCCGTTTCGTCTGTTTTACTCGTCATACAGGAGCGACTACCCGACACATATTCCCAGATATGACATCTTCCCCTTGTCTAGCCAGACCGCGCGCGAACCCCGCTTGACAGCGCGCCCATTGCAGGCCTCCGCTGACAGGCCCCGTCGCCGGCGCCAAACCTCAACAAAAGCGCGCCAATCCACGCCGCCCCCAGTCCGCGCGGCCTTCCCGCCGTCAGTCAGCGGCCGTCGAAGCGCACGGCCGCCGCGGCCCGGCGCGCCGCCGCCGCTCGGGGCGGCCCCGCCCGCTGCACCACCGTCGCCGCCGCCGCCTCGACTTAGCATGCCATTACCCTATGAAAGGCGCGCTGCCCGGCGCCCAATTCAGCGTCGGCGGCGGGCGTCCGCCGCGGGACAGCCGTGAAATCGAGCCCGGCGCGGCGGCGGCGGCGGCTCGCGGCGCGTTGCGTGGCGAACGCCGCCGCCGGCCGGCGAGTCGGGGCGGACGCGGGCGGCGCCCCGGCGGCCCCGCCGCCGCCGCCGACGCCGATACGGGGCCGGCCGGCGACGACGGGACGGCGGGCCGACGACCCCGACGGCGCCGACGGCCCACCGGGCGCGCAGCACTGACGGCGAGTCGTGACCGGGCGGAGAAGGCATAGGGACAGCCTGCCGCCGCTGACACGGGGCAAGCGTTCAGACGGGGCCCTGCCGTCCGAGCCGGCGAGCTGACACCGACAGGCGAAACGAGCCAGCCCAGCTGGGTCCGTGGCCAGCCTCAGACGGCCCAGCTGGATCCGTGGCCAGTCTCAGACGGCCCAGCTGGATCCGTGGTCAGTCTCAGACGTCCCAGCTGGGTCCGTGGTCAGCCTCAGACGTCCCAGCTGGGGCCGTGACCGAGTTCATACACAGCTCAGTGAGTCACCAATGTCATGGACAGCCGAACAGTGTCTCGCTTGGAATCACCCGCCTACATGATGCACCCGGCAGCCCGGCGTTTTCTGGCGATTGCGGGTCGACGGAGGGCTGGGCTTGTTGTTCTAAGGCGATTCTTTCCGCGTATCGCAGCGTAATATTCAGTTCAGCTCAGCTCCTTTCAGCTGGGAGCGCGTCCCCTATTCGCCCTGCGCCGGAGGTCAGGCGGGCAGCCGACCGATCGCAGTCACGAGCGAGCCGCGGGTCCCGGCCCGCTCCGCCCCGCGTCTTCCCAGCACCACCTCGCGTGCGGGGTCCCCCCTCCTCACCATCATCCCGCCCTGCCCCAATCCGTTGGCTGACTCGGCCGCGCCGCCGCCGGGCGGCCGCAGCGTCGGCCATCAATGGAGGCGGCGGCCGCCGCCCAGACGGCGGCCGCTTGGCCCGGCGGCCAACGGCAACAGGGCCCGGCGGCCGCAGCCCGGTCCGCCGGCGCACGGGCGAGCGGGCACGCGGACGACCGACGGGCGCGAGCACGACGCGCGGACGCGAGCGGGGCTGGGCCGGGCCCGGCGGCCGCAGCCCGGTCCGCCTGGCGCACCGGGCGAGCGGGCACAGCAGGAGGACCGACGAGCGCAAGCACGACACGCGGACGCCAGCTGGCCGGGCCCGGCGACGCAGGACGCGGGTGGAGCCGACGGTCGGACGCCGCCGGCGGTTCCGCGTCTGCCAGGCGCCGTCGGTGAGGAGCCGCTGAGGGCGCGGCCGCCGACGTTGACGTCGGCGTCGCACTCCGGAGCGGGCGCCGAGCCGGCGGAACTCCCATGGCGAATGCACAGCCGTCGTGGGGCAGACCCGGACGCCGGCCTGGCTCGCGACTGCGGCGAGCAGGGGCGACCACGTCCCTGTGTCGGGACGGGCCGGCGGGGCCGGCGGGGGCGCTCGACACGGGGCAGAGCGTCACCCCCATGACCTGACCCGACCCGCCCGCCGCCGCCCGCTCCAGGGCAGATGCATGCGACATGACGCGGGTCATGGGCCCGCGTTATCAGCGCCTCTCGCTGCATGCCATCACATCTAGGGCCCGATATGAGGCTTCGTTGAGCGCACGCCTCCCGGGAATCAGGCCGCTCGAGCTGGTCGAGACGAGGCGCACTCTCTCCGCCTCCCGAACTCTCTCCGTCACCGCCGCTGCGCCGGCACGTCACAGCCACGCCCGGCGCCTCCGTCTCCCAGCCCGCAGCCTCATCTCCCCGTCCGTTCCACCGGCTCTCCTCTGCCTCCTCCCACCTCCCCACCGCTCCCGACCCTGCCCCGCCGCCACTCACCGTCCTGGCCGTCGTACGTCTCCATGGTGACGACGCGCTTCAAGGGCTGGTCGAAGCCCTCACTCCGCGCATGGCGGGCCTCCTCACCTGCGAACAGCGCGAGTCACCTTTCGACAGCGGCGGCGGCGGCCGGCACAGACGCGCCGGTTCCCACAACGCCCCGGCTGCGACACAGCACTGGTGTACGTTTGCATGAGAGGCGTCGTCGACACCCCGGGAAGGCTGCACGGCGGCGCGACGGCAGAGGTGAGGTGATAGCTGTGTGTGCGTGTGTGTGTGTGTGTGGCCCACTGTCCGTCCATGCTGAGCTGTGATATTAACGGTAATCTCCTCACGCCATCAATGTTGTGCTTGCTCTGGGGCATCGCTCGAGTTGACGCAACCTAACCTGACTTGGCTTAACCCAACGAGTAATACAAACAGCCAAATTAAGCCTGACCTGACCTGGCCTCACAGCCAGACCTGAGCTGATCAGACCCGACCCGACGCGGCATGACCCGGCCAAACAACTGATCCGACCAGACATCACCAGACCACCGATGCCAGCCTGACCAGACCCGACCGGGTCCAGACTCCCGCGCAGCCCAGACCACAGGCAGCCACTCGGCCTGACCTGACCTGACCTGACCCACCTATGACGGGTGGCCGGGGCTCTCCGGGCGCGGCGAACGACGAGACCACCTGACTCATGTCGTGCGCGATAGCGCGCAGGAAGTTGCGGAAGTTATCGCTAGGTGGCAGGCGCAGCTCGTACGGCGACGCATCGTAGAACGGTTCTGAAACAGGCGAACGCACGCGGTGAGCCCGCGACACCGAGAACCAATCACAATCGCGGTGCAGACGCGGATAACCAATCACAATCGTAGGACAGACGCTGGTGGGTTAGCTTGCCCGTGACAGATGGCGAGGGCGCTCCGTAAAAGAAGACGAGCATACCGTGGTGAGTGAGGTTCGTTTCTTAGGGATCCCCCATAAGGAAAAACCATGATTAAGTTTTTTAACAAGGAAATGCTTGCCAATCCATCATTTCAGCTCATTCAAATCTAACACACCTGGAACATTGCAGCTCCAGCGTTTTTCTCCGTCACACAATGAACTAAACGTTATGAACTAAACGAATGACGTTACCACCTGAATCGGCAAAGCGCCGCAACTTTTGAGTGTATGACAACCAAAATAACTTTTTAAACACAGGCCCAGTCGCTTCGCATGGCGACTGCGTCGTTTTAAGCCCCCGCCCGGATCACATGAACCTGTGGGTGCCCTTTCATTCGTCGTCACTACTCATCCCGCATTAGCCACCTCGTGAGAAGGTAACCACGGACGTTTGTACCTGTCTCTATCGCTAACCAAAGCCAACAGCCTCCCACCCATCATCCGGTTCGCGGAAGAACGGCACGCCTCCGTCGGCCAACAACCAAGTCCTTACATAGTACCCCCGAGGCCGATTACGCGTAGCTTCCTCGGACACACCGACAAAAACGTACAAACACACTCGCACCGTCGCAGCTTATCAATGCTACACTGGCTCCAGCGATGCACTGTCTTGCTCAGTGGGCGTGGCTCCGGCGCCATAATTCACAAAATAACGCTGTGGCAGACTTAGGGAAATGGTGTATTTAAGCGTAGGTTTAACTACTCTTCCGTGCTCACCTAAGCTTTTAAAGCGAAACTGCACCTGGACCAGCTGGGTTGATGCGACGGTTTCGGTAGCCGACTATCGCGCCAGGGCACCCACCCCCGCACACACAGCCCGCTGGCTGAGCCGGTCCTGAACGCATCGGGTCGGCCGAGCGAAAACCACGCTGGGCCAGGTGTTCGGGTTCAACCTCCCCAACGAGACGTCCTAGCGCGCCATGCTAGACTCACGAGGTGGCACGTTCCCCTCCCTCGTCGAGCCGCCCTCACTGCACGGTAGCAGCGTTGCCAAAACTGCTGCCACGTCCCCTACCCACGTGATCGGCCGTCGCCAGCGGGGGCACGTGCCCTCGCTGCGCTAGGGTCAACGGTGGCGGCAGCGGCTGGCTCCGTGCCAGCCGGCGCCCGACGGCGGCGCGCTTTGAACACCGGCAAGTGGCCCTCCCGCTCACGCACCCTGTGCGCGCCTCTGCGGCGCAGGGGCGGCGCCAGGAACGACCAAAGGGGCGGGCGGCGGCGCCCCATCCCGCCCAGCGACATCGACGTATCACAGAGTCCCTCTCTCTTCTGACAAGGGATGGAGATTTGCATCTTCAGAGCAACGGGATCCTGTCGCCCACCCAAATGAAAGCCCAAGAATACGAAGGAGCTAGCCACTGCGTATTACATAAGTAAGAAACCCTCTACGTTATATTGAAACGCTGTTCGTTTCGCTCCCTCGCCTTTAGTGAGCTTTCACACTGAGCACAATGAAATATGGCCGGCCCAGCCAGCCAGGTCCTGCCAGGTCACGTCTGGTTCGGCCAGGGCAGGACGGGGCAGGAAGTAAGCCGACGCTACGTCCCTTTTGTCAGCTGGGACGTGACTGTACAAAGGTCACATCAAGGCGGGGAAGGTCACGGAGAGACAGGGGTCACGAGGTGTGGGAGGCGCCGGGTCAGAGAGGTCACAGCGAGGCGGGGGAAGGCGCCAGGTCAGAACGAGGAATAGGTCACAGCGAGGCGGGGGGAAGTAATGGCATGGAGGAGCAGGTCACAGCGATGTGAGAAGGTGCGAGCGAGGTGGGGAGATCAGAGTGAGGCATGGGAGGTCAACGCGTAGGTCAAAGCGACGCGGGGATGCCAGAGCGAGGCAGGGTCGGGGGAGGTCAGGACGAGGTCAGAGCAGAGGGTTAGAGCGAAGCGAGGGGTCAGAGCGAGACGGCAGGTCAGAGCAAAGCGAGAAGGTCAGAGCGAGACGGTAGGTCAGTGCGAGGCGGGGGAGGTGAAAGCGTAGGTCACATCGAGGCGGGGATGTCAGGGCGAGGGGTCAGAGCGAGGCGAGGAGGGGGAGGTCAGGGCGAGGCCAGAGCAAGGCGGGGGGGGGGGGGGGTCAAAGTGGAGCGGGGAGGTCAGGGCGAGACGGGGAGATCAGAGCAAGACGGAGAGGTAAGAGCGAGGCGAAGGAGGTTAAAGCGAGGTGAGAACGAAACCGGGAGGTCAGAGCGAGGCGGGGGTCAGAGCAATGCGGACAAGTCAGAGCGAGACCGGAAGGTCAGAGCGAAACAGGGAGATCAGAGCAAAACGGGGAGGTCAGAGCGAGGTGGGGGAGGTCAAATCGAGGTCAGAGCGAAACCGGAAGGTCAGAGAAAGGCAGGGAGGTCGGAGCGAGACCGAGAGGCCAGAGAGAAACGGGGAGGTCAGAGCAAGACGGGGAGGTCAGAGCGAGGCGAAGGTCGCAGCGAAGAGGGGAGGTCACAACGTGGCGGGAAAGGTCAGTGAGGCGGAGAAGTAAACGCACATACGAAAAAAAAAACACGGGGATTACGGAAACCAAGGCATGCCACAGTCCGCTGTCATGCAGAAGAAGGTAGGATCACAGATAACAAACTGAGCCTGGTGAGGAAGGGCGCAGCACGTGTCAATACGACAAACCGTCCAGCACCGTCCACTTACCGTCCACCTACCACTCCCCACGAGTGGGAGCTCATAAAACTGATCCCGGACGCGACGGGAGTCAGAGACATAGTCTTTCAGACATACATACGTATATCGTTTTCTCTCGTGTTCTCAATGGCCTTTTAATGATTTCAGTCCTTTTCGGAGGTACCCCTCACAAACATTGGGGAAGCCCCTCAGAAAAGTATCAAGCCCCATCAATGGGTGGAGGTTTCAGCATCATTGGAGGGGGTCTTTCCCTAACGTTGTTACCTCACCCGGTTCAAGCAGCCCCCCCTCCCCCTAATTGGCGCAGATCACCATAAGCTCCCGGACACGACCACATCAAAGCAGAATATGATATTCGGGCAATCTGGTCTTTGGCACACTCAATGACCTTTGTAAAGCTCCGTCTTTGACTTCCCTCCCTTCACTCCACGTTTCTGGACCTTTGCTCGCCGGCTCGGGCCATCGCACGGCGACCTGACGGGCAATATTCCGCAAGACCCGAAATGGAGCCGTGAACAAAGCACGCACGGCATGAAAGCACACCAGAAACAGCGCACCGAGTATGAAGAGACATTCGCAGCTTGATGTGGGTTAAATTTAGCACCTCGTTTTCATTACCGCTCATATGACAGCATTCATCAGCACCAACCGGAAACGAACCAGGCGATGTCTTTTTTCGTGCAACATGAGGCTGAGTCTGCCTGTCACGCATTTCCCGTCGACAAGACTTTCTGCAAAATTGGCGCAGTTTCCGAACGGTAATCAACAGAGTATGTGGGCTTGAACGAGGACTACCAGAGACGCAGCTGCAACGCAGGATAGATACGTGCTAGTGGAGGGTCATGCCTTTGCCCATCAATGCAGCAGAACTCAATGGGAGGCCGCAATCCGTGAAAATCCCAAGCCGAAGTTATCAAGTTTCAGTGCCAGCACGCTGCTGTTAAGCCTTCAACCACGACAAAACACGCTCGAAGAGAAATCCGTCAGCGGACATCCTAGACCACGCTTGATTAACACATTCAAGCGCTTGAACCCAGTGGAGCAAGTTCGCATGTGCTATGCTTTCGATATATCCCTTCGTTTATGCCAGTGAGTGGCGAGATCAAAGGCTGGGGAGGCCGCGCTTTGGCGCATCTTTAATAAAGCGTGCTCTGGCGTGGCTAAATCAGATTTTCGAGCTGAGGGTGGCCAACACGATGAGAAACCATAAGTGCTGTGGGGGCGACAGATGTTTCTGACGTCTGCCTGTGTCAGAAGACCGCAAAACAGAAGCTGCTCGTTTTGATCAACATTTCTGCGGTTGATACCCCGATAGAGGTTGAAGGTGTTACTGACACACCTGATGGGGACCGGACCCACCATTTTCTCCAAAAAGTCGGTATCTTCCACCACTTCAGGGAAAAGCTTATCTGCAATGCCCGGCATCAGACGCCACAACCAAGGGAGTCATCGCGTGCTACCTGTGCTTAGCCTGCTGCGCTCAAGCCGCCCAGACCAGCTCACGCTACCGCAAGCCCCGCCAACACAGAACCCGCCCACAGCACACCACCCAGGCGGCGAGCGTATGCAGTCCCCTGCTCCACCATCCCACTCACGACACCAGCACCCCCCCCCCCCCCCCTCCCCTCCCCTCAGTCCAGGCCGGCCGTCTCTGTTCGCAGGCGGCGTGGCCTGCGCACGGGACCCACCACCACGCGCCGCCCGGCCCGACCGCCGCCGCCGAGAATAGCCGCCGGGGTGGCGGCCGTGGCGGCGTCCGGCCTGGCGCTGACGCTGCCGCCGACTGCCGGCCAGGTCGGCGGCACGGGTCAGCCGCACAGCCGGCGGCCTGTGCTCGAACGGACGGGGTCAGCCGGCCGCCATCGCCGCCGCCCGGCCAGCTGGCCACCGCCACCGCCGCCACCTGCCGCCGGCCGGCCGCGCCGACAAACGCCGGCCGTCTGGCCGGGGCACCGCGCCTCACCTGGCCCTGACCTCCGCCCCCCGGCGCCGCCACCGCCGCCGCCGGTCACGCAGCTCCGGCGGCACCACTGAAGTCGGCCGGCGGCGTCACGCGCGCACTGGCCGGCTGGCGCGCGGCGCGCGGCGCTGCCGGCCGCCGCCAGCCGCCGGCCGGCCGCCAGGGGCCCGTGCAGGGCGCGTTTGCGCCGGACGGCCGGCCGACATCAAGCCGCGCGCCAGAGTCGGTTATCTGACGACGGCGGCCGCGGCAGTTGGCCGACTCTGGCCGGCAGCGGCGTGTAGCGCTGGCCGGGCGGGCGGCCGGCGCCATTCATTGGGGTGGGCGCGGCGCGGCCGGGCCGGGCCGGCCGCCGCGCGCAGCGCACCCCAGAGACGGGCGGCGGGCTGCCCTGCCGCCGACGCGGCGCCCGCCTGATACGGCCGCCGGGACCGCCCCGGCGGCCGCATCAGACGGGCGCGGCGCCCGGAACACCGGTCAGCTGACGCCCGAGCGTCGCACCGACAGGATGTCGGCGGCCACCACGCTCGCTGCGACGGCAAGAGCGACAAGCGCCGGCCGGCGGCGGCTCCAGCTGGACGTCCAGCACCCGGGGGACGCCTACGGGATGGCGCCTACACATTCGTGCAGCGCCGCAGTCCGCTTCCGGTCCGCTGACAGGTCGGAGCGGAAATTCTGCTGCCGGGTCAGAGGTCACCGCGTGCGGTGGCCGAACCGAAGTCGGCGCCGCGTCGATCGCCGGCAAGCGAGGACGCCGCCGCCCCTCCTGACCTCACGCCTCGCGTCCAGCACCTGACGCAGCCCTGGCCTCACACAAGCGGAAGCCATGAGGGCGAGGCGTCCCGGCGGACCGCAGTCCGCATCTCGGGGCAGCCAGTGACGGCTGGCAGCGGCCGCCGGTCGCCATGGTAACCAGTGACGCGTAAGGCCCCGTCGCTAAGCTTCATCCTTTCATTTCCAGTCGACATGGACATGGACCCACTGGGAGATGCGGCTGCCTTCTCTGCGGGGGGCGGGAGGGGGAATGGGTGGGGTAAAGCACGGCCTGCTTTCAGAGTTGCTGCCCGCTTTACATGCCGATCCCATTACATGCCATGCCCGTTGCTCGCTCAAGCATGTCAGTGTCATCAAGTGCTACGGGAGCTGTCCGCTTAAGCAAATCGACGCCATTAGATGCTCGCAATGGTTTTACGAACGAGCACTGGTTGCTAAACGTGGACCAGCCGAGTATTGGCAGCACCATCTGTCCTACGTCGCCACGTGAACATAGGACATCTTTTATGTCAGTAGCTATCGTGTCATGGCGCTGTTAATCGGGCTTCCCCATCCGAGTACTTCTGAGTGCGTTTGCGCACGATAACGCGGAAGTAGAGGTACAACTTCGGCAGCATGATTTGGTGAACAAGAACTACTGGCGAGCTGTCATACATAGCAGCAAACTTGGAAGTCTCAATGTACGATAAAAGAAACGCGGAACCGATCCTGAGAAAGGACAAAACGCGACAGGCTCCACATTCGCCCTGCCTCACGTCCTCTAGCGACCGAGCAAAGCAGGACGACATTTGGCAAATGTCTTCACACGGCGAGGTGCCGAGGCAGGTCCAGTAAGCAGCCGGCCAGGTCCGCTGCCTTCAACACAAAAACACTGCGCACACGTCTCAGCCGACAATGCCCTTGACATTGACCTTGCCCTCCGAGCTTGCCCCGTGGGGGCCCTTCCGAGCTCGAGGACCTTCACCGGCGCCCCCCCCCCCCCCCCCGTTCGGCGGGCCTCCGCGGCGGCCGGCCCTAGAGCCGCCCCTGCGCCGGGCGACCGATCAAAGCGCCGCCGGGCTTTGATCTAGGCCGCGGGCTGGCTGCACAGAGGCGCAATTATCGTCCAGCGGGGGCGCGTCGGACCGTAGGCAGTGGTGTAGTCTCCTCTTCGGTTGGGGAGGCACGGGCGCCAAACTTTCAGAGGACCGTAGGCAGTGGTGTAGTCTCCTCTTCGGTTGGGGAGGCACGGGCGCCGAACTTTCAGAAGACAGCAGGCCAAGCAGGACAGAAACTAGCTTTTTTTGGTGCATTTGGGCTGGTTTCACCATCTTCCACTCAGCCCGCTCCCCAAAATACATTCCGCGAAACTAGCCGGCTGGCGGCGAGCTCCGCTGGCGGCGGCGAGTCTCAATGTACGACCCGCGGTATGGGTTGGGGCGGGGTGACCCGACCGCCGGCGTCGGCGGCACACCTTCACCGACGGCGTGATCGTCCGCGAAACTACTCGGCTGGCGGCGAGCTCCGGCCCGCGGTATGGGTTGGGGCGGGGTGACCCGACCGCCGGCTTCGGCGGCACACCTTCACCGACGGCGTGATCGTGGACTGCCGTCCGAGCCAGGGCGGCCCGCGGAGCGCGGCATTCGATTAAGCCATTAAAGCGCGACATGGGCCTTGCAAAGCTTCGTGTGGTGCTAGAATTCCCAAGAATCGCATTATCCCGCGACGAGATAGAATCCAGAGACCTGATCCGGCGGGAAACTGATAGTCGGAAGCGATAAGATGCGTTAATAAGATTACCGTGCAGTTTCACCACACCGCAAGTGCTTAAACAGCATGTAAACGGGCGCAGGGTGGGGAGCCGACATGGCGCAGACCCCCTCGCTTCCACGAAGTTCAGGCTCAGTCTCACGCCGCGCCGCGGCGCTGAGTCTCCCGCGAGCACAACAAACCGCATTCCGCCAACACGAAACCGAATAGGGCTGACGTCCCCCTGCCCCTCACCCTCACCTGGCGACCCAGAGGACGCCAGTGACCGCCGGTGCCCCCTCGACACCGCCGCCCACCATCCAGAGCAGGCGGGGGCCACCCCTGAGCGGCGCCGCTCGCCGCAGCCTCCCCAGCTGCCGGTCGAGCGCGCCCGCGCCCGGCCGGCCGCCGGCTTAGCCGGCCCCGCCGCGCCGCGGCCGGCAAAGGCGATTAGACGGGCCGCCGGGTTGGCGCAAACCGGCTCCACGGCGCCCAAGCCGCAGCCGGCGCCGGCGGCGGCTCTGGCTTTGATACGCCGCCGGCCGTCGCACACGTGACGGCGGGTCGCGGTGGCCGCCGCGCCGCCGGCGACGGCGGCCGGACCGTCGACGAAGGGGGAACGTCGTGACGGGGGGGGGGGGGGGGGATCATCGTGTCACACGCTCCACGCGTCGGCGCCAGTTCGGGGAAGGAGCGCCAGCCGCTTCAGCCGATTTGCAAACTTAGCCGGCGGCTCCGCAGCGGTCATGCGAGGAAAGAACAGCCGCACGGCCGCCGTCGCTTCTGGCCCAGCGCTCCCCCGCCCGTGCCCTGTCACCGGGCCGGTGTGTCACCAGCGCGCCGGCCACGCCGACAGGCACCACCGGTTTTTCAGCGCCAGCTCTATTTGCCGTGCCGCTCCCTATGCGGCCCCGAGTGCTCAGCTGCGGCGGCCGTCCGAGGAGCGAGGAGCCCCTGCGATCCGAGGAGCCGGGCGCCGCCGCCGGCGGCGGCGACGGCGCAGGTCCGCATTCCCGGCCGGCGCGTGGGAGCGGCGCCGGCACCGGCGGAGGGGCGGTGGCTGGCGAGTGTGCCGGGCTACGACGTTGGTGCTGGTATACGATGGGAGTGCTAGGATACGGTGGAGAGTGCTGGCATACGATGTGGATTTCTGGGATACGATGGGGATTTCTGGGTTCCGGCGGAGAGTGCTGGGATACGGTGGGGAATGCTGGGACACGTTGGGGAGTGCTGGTATACGGTGGGGAGTGCTGGGATACGTTGGGGAGTGCTGGTATACGATGGGGATTTCTGGGATCTGGCGCAGAGTGCTACGGTATACGGTGATACGGTGGGGAATGCTGGGATACGTTGGGGAGTGCTGGTTGGTATACGGTGGGGAGTGCTGGGATACGATGGGAATTTCTGGGATCCAGTGGAGAGTGCTGGGATACGATGGAGAGTGCTGGGATACGATGGAGAGTGCTAGTATACGGTGCGGAGTGCTGAGATACGGTGGGGAGTGCTGGTATACGGTGAGGAGTGCTGAGGTACGTTGGGGAGTGATGGAATACGTTGGCGAGTGCTGAGATGTGGTGCACTACTCGGCTACCGTGGGGAGCGCTGGGCTATGGCGAGGAGAACTGGGATACGGTGGGAACTGCTGGGCTTCGGTGGGGAGTTTTGGGATAAGGTGGGACTACTGGGCTACGGTGGGGGACTGCTAGGCTACGGTGGGGAGTGCTGGGATACGGTGGGGACTGCTGGGTTACGGTGGAGACTGCTGGGATACGGTGGGGAGTGCCGGTGGGGAGTGGTGGGGAAGGGATGCTGCGTTGCATGAACGCGGGCCAGAACGCGGTTGGGAAACCGGAGTACGAAGGAGACTATTGGAATACGGCGGGTAAATTTACGGGTGTGCCCTGAAGACAGGGCCAGTTACAGCACGGGCTGGGGGAGGGGGGGGGGGGGGGGCGATATTCAGCGGAATTTCGTAAGTCTGGACTGGAGCCTAGCAGTATATCACGAGCAGTCCATACACGCAGCGGGAAAAGTTACAGACATGATAGCTACGTGGAAAAACTGTCCAGCCCTCTATCAGCCTCCTCTAAACTTGACGCCGTACGGCGCCAACAGAAGCTGGCCGTGGCAGCGTCCTGTCCGGAAGCGTCGCAGCTGGCGCACGCACGCGCTCAGGTCTCGCGGCCAGGTCAGGGGCGCGCGCCGCCACCCGCCGCCTCCGACCACCCACACGCCGCGTCCATCAAACCGCCCCTGAACGCTTCCCCAGCACATACGAAAACAGCCGCCGCTCTGAACCGCCCCCCCCCCCCCGAGCTGGCAGCGCGAGGCGCTGGCGCCCCACGCCCCGCCCCGCCGCCTCGACCGGGCGTCCCTTTAACCTCGCAGCCCCCGGCTGCCTCAGATCTTCGGCAAGCGCCCCGCGTCCCGATCTGACTAATTTAATGACATCAAAGCGGCCAAATCAAAGGGTGCAAACATATAAAACATATCAAAGGCCGCAGCCAACTTCAAAGGGACCGCCGGCGGCGGCGGCGGCGCCAGGCACGGGT